ACGCTTTCTTAGTGCATCCCCTGAACCGTGCGAGCTTGGGCATCAATGCCGCGGCCATGCATCGCAAAGGTGCGCGAGTGCTTCAGGTGGGCGTGGACCCTGGGCTGCTGACTAGGTCCACGGCCTGGGAAATATCCACCTCGCCTCAGGTGCGTGCAAAGCAAATGGCAAGCGTGAGGAGTTTGGTAGAGTCCTGCGCTGGCCTGCTAGCCCCTTGACGGGCGAGGAGAGGTATTCGAGCACAAGTTCCTCTCACATTTCTCAATTTCTAAAAACGCTTAGTGCTGGCTGTCGCACTACTGAAAGCTTCCTAGCTGACGCCAACGGCAAACTCTGCCCGGCAGATAGCTCGCAAGCGATGCGAAATTAAAAGGAATTGTTGACGCATGGATGGGAATGGTCGATAATAAAGGCAGAGGTAGAATGCTTGTTCCCGAAGCTTCCTCTTCTTTGTCAAGGCGCCCTGAACGCTGCCAATAATAGCGTCTACAGTCCTGAAAGCGAGCTAGAGGTTTCGCTGGCGATAGCCGCGGAGGCGGACGACCGCCTAGCCTCCGGGCATCAAAGCGTTAATTCGCTGAGATAGCCGTCACGGCTGAGACCAAGTTAGAGGCCCTTAGTCCCACTCTAGGCACGTTCGTGCAGCGCTACGGGGGGGCCTGGGGCTCCCTTCGTGCGGTTCTTGGATCTCGTAGCCAAGGAATACGATGGCTCCATTGAGCTCGGCACGGAGTACTGGCAAAGCGTGGTGTCGCTGAAGCCTAGCTGCCAGGCCGCCAGCTTCCCGTTGCTGCGCGTGGCTCTACTGACGACTAACTTGCGCGCCCCCAAGCACAAGGTAGTTGACGGGGTTGCCCGCCTGCTGCAGAAGAAGGACGTGGCCAAACTGCAAAGCGCAAAGCTGGCTCAGGATGTGATCGAGGCCGAGAAAATCCTGAGCGAGTGCTGGGCGAAGGCGCAAAGCGCTGACTTGCCTCATCAGAAAGTGTGCCGGTTGTTTGGCCGCTGCTGCATTCGTTGCGTGTCTTGTCTATTGCACAAGCAAGTGTACGAGACAATTCCCGCAACCTTGCAGCACGTCGCAAAAATGTTTGACGACGACCTGCAAGGTAAAGTCGCTAAGCAAGCGACTGCGCTGGCTGCCGGGGACGCCAGCTCGAGCTCCTGCGTCTGAGCGGCTTCGGCACCACCGAACAGGATTCTGACCAGGTCTTCTTGACCGAGCAGAAGTTGAACTTGACGCCAGGCAATTTGTACTTGCACAAAGACTACGGGCCAGATAAGCTGTTTCAGCTGCTGTTCCTTGAAGACGATAAAGCGCAGCTTAAGGCTGGTGAGGCGCTGGGTCAGGACACCGCTCAGGTGACGGTGCCTTTAGCGCGGGTCGCTGCAACCTTAAAGCTCATGAAAGCTGTGAAGCCGGTCTTGCTGACCGCGCCGGAGTATGGCGAGACGCAGGAGACTTCGCGGAGCGCCACTCTCTCGCAGCAATGCAAAATCTTTTGCACGCTGCTCAAGGCATCGGAAGAGGAGCCGAGCCCCGGCATGCTGCTGGTGGAGTACCCTGCGAAGCGCGTGTACGCTGGCAAAGACTTCAAGAAAGGCGAATTGGTTTTGGTGCCGCAGACCGACAACCCAAGCAAGGTTGGCATCAACCCGCCTAAGAGCCCTGGCACTGCCTTCGCTGAGGTCGAATATATCTGATGGCAAAGTACTATGCACTGGCGCCTAAACCCCTCAAGCAACAGAAGGACCTGAGCTGGACCGGCTCTTCCTCATATACTGGATTGATGAATTTGCCAAGAACGTGCTCAGGCACGAGTCCATTGTGCAAACGCACGGCGTTGACAGGAGAATGAATTTCGATTTGTAGAAATTCAGCTCAAGAGCCTTCGTGCTGGCGGACGCAGCGTGCTTGCTGCTTCAAGGCAAAGCGCATACGCTGTTTTCTCACCACCAATCCACTCTAGGATGTTTTTTGTGTACAGCACGTCGCACTAGACCTGCAGTCAGCATGTGCATTTGTCGTAGCTTTCCAAAGGTAGGCAGCGCAAGGTATAGGTAGGAAGAGTCTGAAGGTATGGCTGGCTGCAGGTGCGCGACCGACAGGTACTGACTCACGCAGCTTCTCAGCGTGGAGCTCAAAATCCTGGCTCAAGGAATAAGATATATTTCGAGAATGGCAGAATTTACTTCAATTTCTCGTTAGAGACAGAGATAACGAAATTACTAAATAAATTCTTGCATCATATACTGAGTACTCAACAATTATTTTTGAAATGTAGTGTGGCACATATATAATCGAATATTTCCCCAGGCAATGTCGAGCTCATATTTTTCATTGAACAATATTCAAGAAAATGTTGGCTATATAAGCTCAGCCTGGATAATTTAAATGAAGTTGTTGGTAAGTTTGCTTGTGTATCGCTACATAAAACATTTACAGAAAGAATTATGAATATTTTTGGAAAATATTGCTGGTGAAGTAATGAGCCGTTTGCTTTCCGTCCTGTCTTTGGAGGCTGCAGCGAGTCTCTTCTTTGGAAGGAATGTCATGAACTGATTTCACTTTTGCGCGCAGTCATGTTGTGGTGGGGAATATTGCCATTCACCTTTTTTTAATAATTTAAATGTTCATGAGTTTAGGTTGCTGGGGTGTACCAGTGCATACTTGTGCCTAATAGCAAATACACAACACGTGTAGAGCTGCCATTAGCAATGGCTGCGCCTATATCCCTAAACCCGGCAATGTTTGCATGCCAAAAACGGAATTTCGCCGGACAATGGCATGTTGGATGGGAAGCGGATCCCATAAGTTTGCAGCACAAAGCACTCTGGCGCTGGAGCTCATATTCGAGCAAAGCACGAGCTGGTGGGCGGAAATGAATTATTTGGCCGCCACATGCACGGAGCTTGCTAGGGCCGTGCATTCTTCTCGGCACATGCATGTTTGTTGGCTGCATTACGAAGCCAACTACTGGGAAGGCTTGCGCGTGATTCAAGAAGAAGAAAATTTCGAGGAATGGTGCAAGAATTTCGTGGGCGAGTATGAAGGCGACATGCCCCTGGCGCTGAGCGACAGCGATTAAGCCCGAAAGCGTGCTGGGCTGGCTGGTGCTGAAAGCATAACTTCCGGACATGCTGAAACTTCATGAAATGGACAACTGTCCACAGGAGACGCGGCCTCTGGGGAAGCTCAGGAGCCGATACTTCGCACTGGCTGCTCCATGCGCGAAGTTGTTCCAGAAAAAGAATGCTTCCCTGCGTATGTTTCGCGCTTTCGCGCAAGGCATAATTCTAACTTCACGCGCGTGGCTCGGCTCGATCAGGGCGCGATTCGTAGGCGGTCTCTGCCTTTTGCTTGGCAAGTAAATTATGGATTCCTGTCTTGGACATATTTTTTCAAACCCTTTTCCTGCAGCAAAACCATAAAGTGAAATCAACATGAAAGCTATAGTAGCTCTCTAACATATTTTCCAGCTTAGATAGAGCATGGCTCCGTGTTGTCTCGGCGACCTTCTCCAGGACTTGTCAGACCTCTTGTGCTTGCTGCAGCAAAGAAGGGCTAGCCGAACGCCTGAAAGTCTCTTGGAGAAGTTACTAGAAAGCGGTAAGGCACGAATTGCCGCTGAAGCTCCCTTAACCATAGCGGACGCCACTAAGCTGTATTCGCTGCTCGAGAAGGCTGCTTGCTCGGAAACAGACAAGCAAAAGCTGCAAGAAGCTGTGGACGAGGCGCTGTTGCAAGGCCCTGGGGCTGCCACTAGTAGGCGCGAAAGCGCTGACAAAGGCTCTCTGAAGACGCAGTTGCTTCTGTGCCCTCAGAACTATCTGACAGAATCAGATTGGCGCGAATTTTCAGCCGCTTGGTTTGTTGTTTGACGAGGACTTGCAGGGGCTGCTCAGGCCAGCCACACAATTCATGCACGATTGGGCGCACTGCCTAGTCGTGCGTGGTGTCTTCTAGAGCGTCACCTGGTGGCTGCTAGAAAGCGCGTACGCTGCTGGCGTTGACCTTCCAGGTGCCCTGCATCTGTGTATGCAAGAATGGGTGCTACCACAAGCCTATAAACGAGACATTGTGGCACTCTGGAGCCCAAAGCGCGCCAAAGCCTGCAAGGCTGCAGCAGCCTTTAAGTGCACGGCGTCCGAGGCCTTGGCCGCGTACCCCCTCCTGGCGTTGTTCCTTGAGCAGGCGCCTCTGCCGCGCATCCTGCAGACTATGGCAAAAGTGTTTCTTCCACTCGCAGATATGCTCGACATCATTCAAGCGATTCCGCTGTACACCATCCAGCCAACCTTCCTGAGAGCTTCGGTAGAGACTTTCTACCAAGCAATTCGGGGTGCTGGCTGGGCAGCCAAAAGCCATTCGAAACTCCACTGGCTGATTCATTTTGCAAAGCATTTAGAAAAGCATAAGATGCTGCCGGGATGCTTAGTGCAGGAAAGGAAGCACAGGCTGGTAAAGCGGTTCGCTGCCGACATCCGAAGCACGAGGCAATACGAAAATCGCCTGCTGAAACAAGTGCTGGCACACGACATCGCGGATTTCGAGCACAGCTCTTGGGTCAGCCCTGGCCGCCCTGTGCTGCTGAAGCCTCGACCGCCCACGAAGAAGGAGGTGGCGGCCTTGAAAACATTCCTGCAGCTCGAGCCTCTTGGATGCACCGTTTCCACAACCGCAAGTCTGCGTCCCGCAGTCGTAGCAAGAGGCGACTATGCGGCACTGAAAGCTGAGCGACCACTCCAAGTGGTGCAGCTCTGGCTGTTCCTTGATGTGGCGGGCGACCAGTACGCCCTGGTGAGCCCTTGCGCCAGACTCGATGTCCAAAGCTCCATGAGCTGCGCCTTCCAGAATGAAGGCATGCTGCTGCCGTTGCCTGCCATTGGGCAACCGCTGACCTGGCGGCGAAATGAAGGACGGGTTCAGACCATCCTTCCGCTGATGGCCCGCGAGTGAAAAAAAGGAACCGCCCGTGCTCTCATGCCTTTTCCCTCAATGAGAGCATGATTTTGGGTGACGCAAGCAAGTATTTTCTTCAACTTCACCCATATAAAACGAGGCTTGCCCATGATTAAAATCATCATGGCTAAGGAAGCTAGTTGGTTACTAACTGACTAGCTAACTACTAGCTAACTGACTAGCAAGTGGTTAACATAAACCCCAAGTTAGTCAGTTACTAACCAATTAGCAACCCTGTAGTAAGTCCCTGGCTAACCCATTGTAACCTGCCTAACCAATTACAAGTCATTAGCAATCTCCCGGAACATCAAAGTATTCGGGCCCCAATTCAGGGGAACGCCCATATTCATGCATTCCTACAAATCACTCTGGAATCCCCACAACACAAAAGTCGTTAAGCGGGTGAACGTAATCTTAGTTAAACTATCCCCCGAAATACGAAAAATTGTGGCGTAGGAGGTTACGGGAATAATATAGAGGTGTACGTGATGCATGACGGCCTTCGTGTTGAATGAGGCTCCTTAGAGCAGGGATCCTTTCTGATTCCCTGGTCTGGTATGGTATACACAGACTTGGGGCACTTACCCTGCTGGCGTAGAACTAACCAGGCGGTCTGGAGGAGAAGATACATCTTCTATTGTCTTTTGCCGGCTTCCAAATGAAGGCAAGGCAGCCCTGATCCGAATAATGCCGCCCAACAATAAACCCAGCATACCGATCACCTTGTTACATCATCAAAAGAATTTCTTCCAGCACCCAAGCAAGGAGCGCGGGGGAGGGGCACGATGATGATGAGGATGCTGCCTGCAGGAAGTTGGGAGGTGAAGCCGGATCTGTGAATCACGCAGCTGCGAACTGTACCCAATGCATGGTTAGAACAGATTGAGTGGAGCTTCCTTCGAGTAGCAATAGAAGAGCGATTATACAGGAGCAGTAGCGTAGTAGGAGCTTGTGAAGTCTTCATTCGTTCATGCTCTTGCGATCATCTCCAGGATACAGGAAGTGGCTCCGCCAATGCCCTTCAGGACAATACCAAAAGACAAATAGGAAAACGTGGCAGAGCAGCGTCTCGACCCATCAAGACCATGCTGGCATGCCGAACCTGAAAAGGAGCCCCCCCTGAATGCCACTCCAAAGCTGGTACCTTGATGCCTGAATTAATGCGCCCCATGCTGGCAAATCCAGCATTGTGGGACAAAGGGCCTTTGGGCTGCTGTCCCACTGAGCGCGCAAACGGCAACAGGAACGCCACACGAAGCTGCTGAACCTCACAGAGCTTCAAGGCTCCACCCTGGAAGCCTCATTCTCAAGGGGTCCCACAGGTGCCGTTTAGTAGGGTCTCTTTGGGTTCCTTATAGACTCGCTTCCTCTGCATTACAACTGTGGACGTCAGCTAGGTTGCACCAAATGCATAGGTATGCAGCCTCCTAGGGGACTTCAGATTCAGGAGCGTATATATTGGTGTTGTATTAGGGTTATGTTGGGGTCATATTGGGATAATGGAAAATAACATGGAAACTTTAAAGCATATATTTAGGGATGTGGGGTTGATATTGGGGTTATTTTGGGGTCATATTGGGATAATGAAAAATAAAATAGAAACTTCTATAGTATATATTTAAGGATATGGGGTTGATATTGGGATTATATTGGGCGGTAACCCCAATATTAACTCCATATCCCTAAATATGTACTATAGCAGTTTCCATTTTTAATATCAATCATCCCAATATAACCCCAA